CCAACCCCCCCCGCCCTCCCCACGCAGGGAAGCCCCGCGCATGCCTGCCCCAGGGCCAATCTCCCGCCCCACACCCCTCCTTGAGGTAAGTAGTGGGGCTTCTCAGGGATAGGAGGGAAATGGGGGCGGGGCAGACAGGACGTCTTGTGAGCGACTGGTCGAGGCCTCGCGATCGACCAGTAGCTCGCGATCAACTTGTTGGTGACCACGATCTAGACCATTCCTGACATATGTCTATTCAACCTGCTCTTCAATATCTTCAGAGATGGAGATTTCACAACCTCCCTAGGCAACTTATTCCAGTGTTTAACCACCCTGACAGGAAGTTTTTCTTAACATCCATCCTAAACCTCCCTTGCTGCAGTTTAAGCCCATTGTTTCTTGTCCTAATGGCTTATGCTGGTATTCATTTGAATCCTACTTCCTTATAGTTAAATCATAGTATCTTATTCTTTAATGAACACTAATCAGGTGTTGTGAAATGTGCAGATAACTCTGTTTAGAGCTGGTAAACTGTTATATATTCATCTCCTTACAGGTTCACCATAGTCAGCAAGTTATATGGGCCTGTGGTGCCCATGCTCCACTGATATTCAGGAACATGGGCCTGGCCACACCAATGACTGGGCTCATATTTTCAGAACTGTCCTTCCCAGAAGATGGACCAGGGTAACTGCCTCTGGATGTGCACTTTGGGCAGCACTTCTGTTCTTCCCACCCCCACCTGGCCACGATCCGGGCCCCTTCCTTCAAGCCCCCACACTGCCTCTTTTTGGCTTCTGACCTCTACCCAAAGTGATGCTGGGAGAACAGAGCAGGACAGGGTGGGCCAATGCCAAATTTGCTCACTGCTGCTGGCACCAGGCCCTGTGCTAATCTCCAAGGCTGTCCTAGAGCTTGCACCCCCCTGAAACATGGGACCTGGGGCAGTTGCCCCCGTCTATCCTATGGATAGGATGGCTCTGTTTAGACCCATTCTGAGCACCACCAAAATTATACAAATTTGGTGCCCTTACCAGGTGATGCTTCCCTGGTATCAGTTAACTGGTATGTGGTAGTAGCCTGCCATGAGCAAAGGGCTACCTCAGCCCCACGGGGCAGTAGAAACTGACCACCCCATGCATTGGGAGCAGGGAGCTGGATGCCCCCCGCAGTGGAGTCTGCTTAAGCTGGACTAGCGCAGCCCCCCATGGGATCCTGTTTAATCAGTTAGTTGGTTATACCTAACTGATTAACTGGGATTGTACATCCCTAATCTGTACTGGCCAGCAAAGGTTGGATATTGCAGAATACACATTTTGGGAGAAAATCCAGGATTGGACATTCATCAGGGTCATCCTGCAAGCAGTAACCAAGGGTCCTGGAAGCCAGAGCATGGCTGATGTTTGCTAGGAAGCTCCTGGAGTCAGTTGCTGAACCAGGATTATGGTTATACACAGACAAACACTCGGATGTGACCCGCATAATGGTTAGGCTGTCTGTGAGTGGCTCAGTGGGGAGTTACAGCAGCAAAGCAGTAAGTACTCAAAGTTGAGGAGCAGAGATGGCAACACCGGACAGGTCTGAATTACATCCTGAAATCTCTTAGTACTTAATAGAATTTAACACTTTAATCTTCTAAATACTTTATAAATATTATGCCTTGCATGTAGAATAGTGATAGAAATGTAGCCGTGTTAGTCTGGTGTAGCTGAAACAAAATACAGGACTATGTAGCACTTTAAAGACTAACAAGATGGTTTATTAGATGATGAGCTTTCGTGGGCCAGACCCACTTCCTCAGATCAAATAGTGAAAGAAAATAGTCACAGCCATATATACCAAAGGATACAATTAAAAAAAAAGTGAATACATATGAAAAGGACAAATCACATTTCAGAACAGAAGGATGTCTTTTGAGTGCACCCATTTTTTTTGAAATATAAATGACTCACTATTCCGATGTCCCTGTAAACCTCATTCCATGAGGGTTAAGGGACATTTCAGAATTGCTCTTTATTTCAAAATTTGGTGCTGTCTGGACAGCACCAAAT